CCTTTTCTAAAACTTTAGAAAGAACAGGGAGAATACTTATTGGTCGCAAGTCACTATACTCACGTGGGTTATCCTTTTTGAGCAGAGGAATAACCTCTGCGCGTTTCCATTCCAAGGGAAAGACATGGTCAACTAAACAACAATTGAGTATGTGGGTTAAATATGGCAAAATGGTGGGGCAACACAGTTTGATCATCTCAATGGAAATTCCATCAGTACCAATAGCAGAAGATGTAATAGATGCAATCACGTCAAAAACCAGAGAGATCTCCACAGTCTTAAATGAAAACTGACTACCATAAATAGGAGAACTGTACAGATCAAGGTCAGAAGCCTGTAAATCTTTAATAATGTCATTTACACTGCCTACAAAATAATTATTAATCAGATCAGGATGTTTTAAATTTAAAGGTAGACAAGATTTTTTAATTGGTTTTAAGTTCAAAGTTTTCAAGTTATTCCACATCTGTTTGGTATTGCCCGTAGCAGCAATAGAACCAAAATAAGCTCGCTTTTCATTCCTTATAGCTGCAGTAGTGAGATTACGAAGGGTCTTATAATATTCCCAATGAGCCGGCCTGCCCGTATGTCTAAACCTGGTTTTAGCCTCATTTCTCAACTTAATCATTAATCTAATATTATCAGTCATCCGGGGTGCGGGAGGCTTGGTAAATCGACATTGCTTTATTGGAGCGTGAATATCAAATAAATCAATTAAGGCGTGTGTAAAGAATGAGACCTTGTCGTTAATATCAGTTAGATAAAATATAAAATTGAATGGAACTGATTGTAAATCATGCAGAAAAGATACACTATCAATACGCCTTAATAGTCGTAGAGACTTAAACACTGGAGATTGTCTACCTACATTCACACCAACATCGCAAAATACCATATCATGATCAGACAAATTACACGGGAGCACTGCGTAGAACCAGAGTCTTTTCGAACGTTATCAACAAGTCTATCAGAGAAGCCGTTCCAAAAGTAATTCTTGTAGGTACATCAATCAATTGTTGACCTCCAAGGGAATTTAGCAAATTCAACAGATACTCACTATCGCAATTATCCATATTGATTAAATTAACATTAAAATCACCAATAACGAAGTTGTGGTCTACTTCCGGTAGATCGGAAGTGGTGGCCATCTTGAAAATATTTTAGATTGAAAGTTTAGAATGAACAACCCATGCTACCAAAATTTCAAACCTCTACGAATAGTGGAACCTAAAAAAGTTCTAACGAACCAGTTACGTGAGACACCCTGTATTTATAACAAAATGTTGTCGAAAAAAATTATTTTTTACATTAAAATCTCGATATAACGGACTAATACTTACTAAAACTTTCTAGTTGAATTATTATTAACGCATCTGACAGCAAAAGTGAAACCAGCAATATTATCGAGATTTTACTGTAATTATTGTAATTACATAATCGTGGTTTATTTAAGATTTTAAAGTATGCCGCATGGTGAAAATAGCTTTGTTGACAGGATTCGGGCGCTCGGGCTACCTCAAATCCAGGGTCCAAGGGCAAGGAGGTTGCGCCCGATTTTGGCGGGCCGAAAAGCGTTTAAGATTCGCCATAAGACACACTGTCAAAACTCAATGGTTTTATTGGTCAGTTATTGTCTTGGTTTTCTTCAACACAGTTTGCGTAGCCGCCGAATTTCACGGACAACCAGACTGGTTAACAGATTTTCTTTGTACGTTTCATTTCATTCCTCAACTTGATTAATTAAAAAAAAATTTTCTTTTTAGATTACGCTGAATACGCCTTTTTAGGTTTATTTATGATGGAAATGTTTATAAAAATGTACGCATTGGGTCCCCGAATTTATTTCGAATCGGCGTTCAATCGGTTCGATTGCGTGGTCATTTCCGGTTCGATTTTCGAGGTGATTTGGTCGGAGGTGAAAGGAGGTTCGTTCGGACTTTCCGTTTTGAGAGCTTTGCGACTCTTAAGAATCTTCAAAGTGACCAAATATTGGAGTTCGCTGAGAAATTTGGTGATTTCGCTGCTCAATTCCATGCGTTCCATCATCTCCTTGTTGTTCCTCCTTTTTCTTTTCATCTTAATCTTTGCACTTTTGGGCATGCAACTTTTCGGCGGGCAATTTAATTTTGAAAATGGGACACCTCCAACGAACTTTAACACGTTTCCGATCGCCCTTTTAACAGTGTTCCAGGTAAACATAAAGAAATTAAATAAAGTAAAATATTAAATAATTTTTTTTTAATTTTTTTAGATTTTAACAGGTGAAGATTGGAACGAAGTGATGTATTACGGTATTGAAGCTTCCGGAGGGCATAGATCCGGGATGATTTATTCGTTGTACTTTATCATTCTCATGTTGTTTGGAAATTATACATTATTAAACGTTTTCTTGGCTATCGCCGTTGATAACTTGGCCAACGCCCAAGAATTAACAGCGGCGGAGGAGGAGCAAGCGGAGGAAAATAGGGAAAAGCAAGCTTTAGAATTAGAGAAAGAAATGGAGGCTTTACAAAAAGAAGGGGGGGTCCCACCTTTACAAACACCTTCTAGTCCAGTTAGAAGTAGGAAAAAGAAAGACGATAAACCACCTGAAGAGGAAGAAGAAATAGTTGGACCCAAACCTATGCTGCCATACTCTAGCATGTTTATTTTATCACCAACTAATATGTAAATTAAATTCTTTATTTCCTTCACAATTTCTTTGCAAAATTTTCTTTTTAGTGTTAGAAGAGGTGCCCATTGGGTGGTAAATCTGCGTTACTTTGACTTTTTTATAATGATAGTGATCTGCCTTAGTTCGATAGCGTTAGCATGTGAAGACCCCGTCGATGAAAAAGCAGTTCGAAATAAATTCTTGAACAACATCGATTACGCTTTCACCGGAGTTTTTGCCGTTGAGATGTTGTTAAAAATCGTCGATTTGGGGGTTATTTTACACCCGGGTTCGTATCTTCGAGAATTTTGGAACATAATGGACGCAGTGGTCGTTATTTGCGCGTTGGTTTCAATGGGATTCGAACTAACGTAAGTTAAAACACTCACAAAGTACTCTTAATAATTTTGATTGCTATTTTAGGGGTGAATCGGCGGGTAGTAATTTATCAACTATAAAATCGCTGCGAGTGCTTCGAGTGCTTAGACCTTTAAAAACTATAAAACGAGTGCCGAAACTGAAAGCGGTGTTTGACTGTTTAGTGAACTCCTTGAAAAATGTGATAAACATCCTCATAGTGTACATATTATTCCAGTTTATATTTGCTGTGATCGCCGTACAATTGTTCAACGGGAAGTTTTTTCACTGCACTGACGAGAGTAAATTTACCGAATCTACCTGTCAGTAAGTTGCTCAAAATTTTTTGTAACAACCTTTTCACTATTAACCTTTAACATTTTTTAGGGGTCATTATTTCGTTTATGACGAAGAAAGCGATGTGCCACGAATCGAGAAAAGGGAATGGAAACCACAAAGTTTTCATTATGACAATGTCGCAATGGCCATGCTTACCTTATTTGCTGTACAAACAGGAGAAGGATGGCCTCAGTAAGTATACAAATTACGTATCAAATTTGCTCTCGTTATGGACTACATTAAAAAAAAACGGAACATTATAAAACTTCCACATAGATTTTTACCATAACAAGATCTCTCCCATATTTAACATTCGCCTGCTTTTCTTTGCGACATTTTGCCTTCCTTTCACGTCTTGTAAATAACATTTTGTGGATAATTGTTATTTATTACCGGTTGTCGTGGGTTTCTTATTTGTATTAGGATAAACATTTTTGCTGCACATTTTTGTTGGCTTATAGCTGTGAGTTACAATTTTCTGCCAAAATTGAGTTTCAGGATTGTTTTTGTAAACATGGAATTTTACACATCATGACCTCACGTGATCACGTCATGATGGCCAAACCATCTTCACGGAAAATTCATGTCGAGGTTATATAAACCACATGACTGTCCAAAAATTAAATAGTACCTGAGTCAGCATAAATAACTGGCATTTATTTTAAATTTACTTTCCCAACCATGATAATATCTAAAATTAAAAACCTCACTATGAGTGAATGTTGCCTCGTCAGTAAAAGTGTATAAGATATATTCAAAGATGTTTTAATTTCAAGCTTTAATTTGCAATAAAAATCATTACTTTAGTGCGTAAATAAAGCTTGCACGATTTGTTAAATGTTTTCATAAATCTCAATATGTGTTTGCTAACATCATCTTTAGCTTTGGTTTCGTTTTCTGCCAAAATAAGATAATATGAAAAGTTTCAAAGATGTTTTCTTAAATTCATTTCTGTAGTTTTGTAAGTAGAGCTTCTATGACTTTTTGAAAATCGTGATGTTTTAGTAAAAAATAATAAATTCTGAATAATATAGTCAACTTGCAAAGTCTACAAGTTTGATCCTCAGCTTGTCCAATGTGGCAAACAGCATAACATTGCTGTTATTGTGCTATCTAGTGGCTCTATCTAGTGAGCCATTATTATTATTGCTGCTGGGCTGAGGAGAGCAGCCCCTCTCGTTACCTCGACCTATAAGATCTATTGTAACTTTAGCCCTCCAAAGGTTTAGGGCAAATGCAGGTCCTTGATGAACCTCAATGTTGCTGTGACCTGGAACCCACCATAGGGTAACATCATTGCCCCGCGAGTTCTTTCAAGTTGCTGGTACACTCTCTGATCAATGTAGAGAATGCCTGAATTGCCTTTAAGGCGGCCCGACTGTCTGTGAAAATGTTTATGGATGCACCTTTTTGTCCCTTCTGTAGGTTCAAAACGGTGCAGAAGTTTATAGCAAGAACTTCTGCTTGGAACATTGTTATGTCTGAGCTGAGAGGCAATTTGATGTGGCTATTTGGTCCACTCCGGATCTTACTGTCTTTGAAGCATCGGTGTACTAGGCTAGGGCTCCTTTTTTTAGTTGAGGCCCAATCATCCCTGCTTCTAAATATGACCTTATACAGCTGGTTGAAATTGTATTCTTTCGGTATAAGGTCTGTTTTAATTTAAATCAGGTGATTTAGACGTGGGTCCTTGAGGATCTCGAGGTGTCCTCTGAGATTACCCTGCATCAGCTTGAGTGAAGAAACTGTTTTCAGTGATAAAGCTGCCTCCTTTTGTATATATAAATGGAGCGGTGTGAGACCGAGTAGGGCTTCCAAAGCAGCCGTCGGACAGGATCTCATTGCACCCGTTATGTTAAGACATGCTAAGCGCTGGATTTATGCCAGCTGTTGTTATGCTGTCTTATGTTTTGTTTTTGGCCACCAAATCAATGAGGCGTAGACGATCATGTGTCTGATTATTGCTACGTAGGCCCAATGAGCCATTCGTGGTTTGAGACCCCAGTTCCTTCCTAGAATAGGAAGTTCCTTATCTAAGTGTAGGNGAAAAACAAAATTGCTTTCCTGTCACTGTTAATCTGTCAAACTGTAATATAGTAAACTTTAACTGTTTTTTAAGTACTATGTTAACATTAGAGGAAAAACCGGGGAAAACCGATAAATATGGTTATTGCTCTATTTAGTGAAAAATTTCCAAATACTGGAATTTAAAAAAGTACTTGTTGGCGTTTAATCAAAAAATTTCTTACTGCAGGAAGTATTTACTCTATGATGAAACTGATTAACTGTTTTCTTTTGTGGGCGAACACACACTTAATTTTTTGTGAACATTTTAAGAACAGTTTGTTTATTTCTCCCGAATAATCTGAATCTCAAAACAAAAAATTCTAATAAAGTACTATTGACGAAAATAATAAACAATGGGTTTTATCAAAGTAGGCCAATGATTCCGAAAATTTACATATGGTCATAACTTTTCATTCTGAATAGACTTTCTTAGTAACATTGTACCATACTGTAAATAGAAAAGGTACTTGACCTGACACACAAGAAGTTTTCGCTTTAGTGTTAACACACCCTTGTTTTTTTAAATTTGAAAATATGTTCAAAATTAGTCTTTAACCAAGCAGGGCTGAACCCCAAAAGATGACAATTAATATAGAAAAAATTTTACATTTTATAAGAGTCGTTTCACCTATCCGGGGACACACTGTATGTATTAATTTAATTTTAAAGAATATAATGTTTAATGAACAACCTACATAAAGTTGATATTTAAAGCAATATTCAAAGTCAATTTCACACAAAAGTACATATATTCTAATTAATTTGATGCATCTACGATAATTTATAATTAAAGTCAATTATCTACAAAAATTGCATTTCAAAGCTGCATAAAATACGCGCGAAACACTTCAAACTCTTTAAAATTTACGATTCGCGCAAGCACCTTCACGACATGGGGGCACGACAAAGACAAAACATATATCATTCCGTCTGCTTTTGATGGAAACGCTCGCCACTCATTGCTTAGATAGGGAGTCAGCGATATAGGAGATAGTATATATATGGTTTTTTCCTACTCTCTCTCTCTCAAGTAATAAACGGGTTCTCTCTAATATCGATATTTCAGTCGATAACCGCAGTTATCTATTTTATTTAAAAATTTATCTCTCGTAAAACTTAA